GCATTTTAAATCCCTTTGACTCTGGGTTTTTCCAGACTTGGCATAAGAAATAACTTGGAATGGAGCTGTATTATAGCCACTTACTTTAGAGACAAAACATAGCAAAACACATCTAACGATCATTTATTTCTAAGAGTTTTGATTGGATGTTTTCACATGAAGACAGGTTTATTGAGCTGAAGACTTCGTGACACTATGATTCTCATTTCCAAATGTTTTAATATAAATTCTGCTGAGTTGGAGTAACACTATAAAATTTTCCCCTCATTTGAATTATTTTGAATTATTCTTACTATATATAATTCTTTAAGGAATTTCATCTTCATATAGTTTTCTTGTTCATATAGAATAATTTTCTTAGATTGCCGTGAATAGGACTCATATTTCATTGAGTCTTATTACATATAAAAGATACATATATCTAGAAAGTAATGATTGAATAGTTTCTGAAGTCAAATATAAGGAGCTTGCCAGAGATGTCATAGTTCAGCCGAGTTAGAACTGTACTTTCCTGTATATGACTCCTTAACTTTCATTTCAGTGATTGACATAAAACTGGAAAAGCCTCAGGAGCAACCAGTCAGTGAAGGAGGCTGTTCCTGCTAATCTTCCCCTGGCATCTTCAACCCTTCTGCAGAAGCTCACTGCTTTGGCCCCCATATTCTTTCATTGACTGCAGTGTGAATATTGGCTTGAACCTTTTCCCTTCAGTAATAACGTATTGCAATTCATCATTGCTGCCTGTTTCGTGGAGATGATCTATTAGCTTCACAAGCACAAAAAAGTCAGTGTCTTCATTATTTATATTTTTTAAAAGCCAAACAATTCAGCATATTCGTGATAACTTTGAGGATTAGATACATTTTCTTAACATTTTTTCCCTTTTTAATGTTATGATAATGTACTTTAAAATGATGAAAATCTCAGCAGTGTGAATGTGGCTTGTTAAGGAGCAGTGTGTTCACAGCTGCATTTGCCTACCTTTTTTCTGTCTCCCAGCTTTTCTTGCCTCTTCTCCTTTCCTTGTTCATACCCTCCCCAAACAAACAAGAGGTGGCAAACAGCAGTCTGACAGGCCCTTTGGAATTATCCTTAGTTTTACAGATACCTTTTGCTCCAGGCCATGAGCCACAGTGTCCAAAATTATTTCCCAGCACTGATATAAACTACTTAGACCTTCTTTGAGGTCAGAACTCAGCTGTTGCTGTCATGATGGGCAGTGTTTGAATGAGGAAAGGGTTCTGTTGTGTCTTCAAAGTGAGTCATAATGAATTTACTGAGTGCTTACAGGTAAAGGAGCATAAAACATATTTCTGACCAGAGCAAGTGACCCTTTCACATGAGCTTTTACTAGACTCTGGGACAGAAGAGTAGTCAAATATGTCAGAACTGTTTTTCAATATTTATTTCATCATGGAGAATTTTAAAAAGTTCAAACGGTTCTCCCCAAATTTTTGAATTGTCAAAATAGTGTCTTTAAAAAAAATCAACAATTTTTAAAGCAATAGATTCACTTGGGTTTCTTTTCTATAAAAAAAAAAAAAATGCTATGAAGACAAGGCATTGTAAAAATCAGTTTCCTTTAAGAATCAGCAGAAAAATACAATTTGACGACATGAGGAAAACTACTGTATCTAGTAGAAATAATGATATCTAAAGTTTACCAACAAAAGAACCCTCGCAGACTAGCAAATACCCCTCTGCTCTGGACATCTGAGGTCAAATTTGAATATGGAAATAATTTCCTTGCAAGCCCCTAGAGGCAGATCAGAGAAAGCATGCATTAAGAGGGAAAGGAGAGAATGGAAATAAACATGACTATAATGCAGATTTATGCCTTATTTTTTAGCATTTTTAAAATGTTGGGTCTTTCAAGCTGTTTTTGCTTTTTATTAGATCTATATAAATAAGTTAACTAGCAATTTAGTTTTGTATTTAAGCTACAATTAATCTTTCCTTTGGTGATATTTATTTCTTTGCCTTTTTTTAACTTTAAATTTTTAGGTGTTTTGTTGAGTATTTAGAGCTTCATCACCATGGCAATATGTATTTCCCTTGAAGCGTTGCAAACAATTATACTAGGAGTGCACCCTTTTAATCTTTACTAGTTATTGTGAGATTGCTGTGTAAGTTAATAAACACATTTGTAAATACATTGTTTGCAGGGAAAACATTGTGAGTTCTAGCTCAGAAGAAGCCTGCTGAGTTTATGTTGTAAGCATTACTTAACACAGTGTAACGATGAAAAGACAACAAAAGTAACTTCACACTTCCTCACCTCCTCATTGCAACACAATCCTTAACTGGGAAAACCTGACTCCCCTCTCCTCTTCTTCCTCCTCTCACTTACTCTCACCTTGTAATACTTGGAGAGCACTTGGATTATGGATCTGAATAGAGAAATACTTTCAGATAATCATTAGCCCACATACCCTGTAACTTATACTCAAAGATGGGATGGAGTTGTAAAGTGCTTTTATAATACATATTATTGTTAAAAGCAAGGATTGACTCTTTTCTTTTATTTTGACATGGCATGTCCTGAAATAAATATCAATTCAATATGGCAGATGGTTCACATTCTTTATTTGAAGGAATTGTGATTTCTGAAAAGGGGGCTGATTGTCTTCCTACACTGTTGAATTTGATGCTACTTATGTTATTTTTTAAAGTAACCAGTATGCTGCTTTTCATATTGCTCTTTTTATTTAGCTTGGGGTTCTTCAGCTGAAGCAGTAAAGTGTGTTCACAGTCTAGATTTTTTTTTTAAACAAACACAATTTTGCTGCCAAATATATATAAATAAAACACAAGAAAACAGCTATTGACTTGGTTTCCCATCCCTGCCAGTATGCTGAGTATGCTTATGCTTCTTCCCTCCTAGAGCTAGAAAATGTAACTTGAAGTAAAATAAGTAAATAAATAACAAGAACAGATGTTGGGGGAGAAATAGGAAGTCCAAAGTCTTTCCAAGAGTGTGAAAGGGAGGTTGCAACTTGAGAGACAGCCCTTACTGGGGTAGCAATAGGATAAACAGTCATGCACCAGATGTGATATTTTGATCAGTGATGTACCATATATCAAACAAGGTCTCCTACAATTACAACTGAGCTAAAAAATGATGTCAGGTAATAGCACAAAATGTCTCTTGTTTGTGGTAATGTTAGTGTAATCTGTTGTGTTTTCAGTCAAATAAAAGTAGAGGCATACAATACATACAATACATGATAGCAATAATAATTGCTGTTTTACTTACTGTTATTTTAAAATGTAGTTCTGCTTAGCCAAAAGAAAAATTACAAAATGTTAGACCAGCCAAACCCTTATACATGTGGTCACTGTGTCTCTTGGTCATACTGTTCTTTTGTGTTTAAGCTTGTGGTGTTCTGTTGATGATGACACCAGCAGGGAGTAGGCTATACCACACACAGACTTTATAGCCTAGGTTTGTGAATAAGTTATACCATCTATACTCTGTGATATTAACTTGGTGAGGAGATTGTATTGCTGTTAGGCAAGGAATGACTTTTTAGCTAACAACAATGATGCATACGTGTAAATGCAGCTCTCTGAGAGCCTGAGGCAGTAGGATTGTGAGCTCAAGGTTGGCATGGGTTACAGAGTAAAACTCTTGTCTTAGGTTGGGGTGGGGCATAACCTTGCAAGCAGAGCTTCTAACCACATCTAGCCCATTGCTGGTTTTAAACTTAAAACTTTAGCTGGACATGGTGACACATGCCTGTAATGCTAGCACTCAGGAGGCAGAGCAAGTGGATCCTGAGTTCAAAGACACTCTGGTCTATAGAGTGAGTTCCAACACAGCCAGAGCAACACAGAGAAAGCCTATCTCGAAAAACCAAAAATAAACTTAAGCTTCATTAGAACTCAAGCATACTTTTAAACCATTCAGATACTATTGAACACTTAAAACAGTACTTATGACCCCAAAGTCTGAAGTATTCACTTTCTGGCCATTTACAGAAATATCTGACTTTGGTCAGCAACATCTGACTCTCCTGCCCCATTACAAAAATAGAGGCCACAGGCCAGAGAACTTATTAGTGCAGCTGTCTTCAGAGCTAGCATTAGTGCACTACAATTGCCATGAGAAAGAAGAGTTGATGAAAACAGATACTGCAATGAGATGGGGCTTAGAGGATTGGCCCTGTGGTTCATGGAACTCTTCAGTGCTCAGCTTGATATATGGTTGTAGCTGCAAGCTCCCAAATAACAACATGGAGACTTATGACAGCTCAATCTTAGCTTAGCCTTGTCCCATCAGCTCTTATTACTTGAATTAACCCATTTCTATTTGTCTACGTTCTGTCTTGTACTGCCCATCCTGCTACTTTCATGTCTCCTCAGTCCTTCGATGGCCACCCCGCCTTCTCCCAGAGTTCTCTCTCTGCCCTGAAGTCCCACCTATACCTCCTGTATTTTCCATTAAGCTTATTACATCAATCACAGCAATGCATTTTCAGAAGACTGAGGCAGGTTCTGTTTGTCTCTAGCCAGCAGGTTTCTATAAGAACAATTAATTGGCTCTACTTTAGGTGGGGAAGATACTGTGGAAAGGCAGAGGCAAGAGCATCCCTGACGTTTACTGGCCAGTCAGTTTAGCCAAACAGAGAGATGTCAAAAACAAGGTGAAGGTTGATAAAGACACTCTGGCTTTGACCTCTGGCATGCATGTGTGCACACATACACAAATATTCTAACATCAGAGCAGTGCCAGCTCTGGATTATCTGACAGCTCAGGGCATAGAACAAAGACCCTGGCATAGCCTCTCCTTTTGAGTCTTCAGAGGTGGCCAACTTCCATCTGCCCTGTCAAGGGGTAGGGAAAGAAAGGTCTAGAAATGAGTTGTTCCAAATTGTTCAGCTCACATGCTGTCACCGATTCCATCCAACTTCATAATGCACTCTATCAGTAAATGGTGGGTCACAGAGATGTCCTGAGGAAACAGATCCCCCTGGAGGAACAAAACAACCAGAGCCAGTTTTGGAGTCAGTCATGTCTTTATTAGTGTCTGCAGCTGAGCCAATGGAGCCCTCCCTCATCTACAGGGAACTTTAGTGGGCACTCTAGCCACTGGACCAGAGACGTTAGCTTTTCTATTGGCAGCTGGGACGGGGTAATGGAAGAGTCTGGAACAGGATCTAATGGAGAAATTGCTTGCCACCTACAGGCAGGCACATGAGCGGTTCCCCAGGCTGGAGCCAAGGTGGGTTAGGCCCATAGCAAAGGAAGAGAAAAAGCCTCAGATGATAACAGTCACTGCAATAAAGCTGAGCTCCTGGGATCAGAAAGGCATTTCCTAATGGAAGCAGCTTCCTAAGGCTGGAGTCCCAAGGAGCTCACCTGATCCACAGCAAGGAAACCCAGGGATTGGTTAACTCAACTATCAGAGAAGCTAGTAGTGGGAAGAAGGTGCCAGTCTTCCATGTATGGAGTAAGGATATGTGCTGGTACTGGCAAAACAGACAACATACTCATTATAGTTGAAATCACAAAGCTTCCCTCCATAAAAAGCGCCCATCATCTTTATCCAGCAAGCTCCATAGCCTAGAGGACACCATAGTCCAAAGCCTGCCTGAACACCAAACCAACTGTATTCTTTGATTCTTTGGACGTGTAAGAATGTTCTCTGCTCATTCTTGCTGCCAACAGCACCCAGACTGCCTGCCTTGTTTTTTGCCCCCACGTATCCTTCTCAGACTGATAACTGTAACTTTGCTTTTTACTTGTGGTCGCCATCCCTCAGATACTTGGAACCAAATGAAGTCATGTTTGCTGTATCTAGAAGAAATACATCTGTACATGATTTATGGGGGTGCCTGGCAATAGGTGGGAGGATTTTAGCCAAGTCTGCCTGAAATGTTAGCTTCCTCTGAGAGGGAAGGAGGCTAAGTGGTGGGAGGGATGGGCTAGGCGTAGAGAGCTTAATGGAGAGGAAAGGGTCAAAACGAGGCAGGGTTTAAATGGGTAGGTAGCAGAAGGTAGACCAGGAAGAAAAGAGTCTTGCGTTCTACGTGCACATCCAGAGGTCAGAGCCCCAGGGCTCAGAACCAGCAAGGTGACCACATGAGTGAGCCTAGAGCAGCACCTGTGGCAGCCCCAGCAAGCATGCCCATAGCCAACGGGGCGCCTGCGCTGTAGCAGGGGTCCTCTCTCACTATCACGTGTGTCACACCAGGGCCTGTAACGAGAACCAGAGGGTCAGGGTCAGCCCCTGTGGCCCTAATCCAAACCCACGTTAAGGTATGAACTCATTCTGCTCCCCAGAGAAACTGAGACTTTGAGACCTGCCACCACATCCTACAGGTCATACATATGCCACTGATACTTAGTGACTATGGTGCTGGGACTATGCTACAAGATCCCTGGGTGCCGGGGGAACCTATGCAGTATATCTGGGGACCGACATTGGTAACAAAGTTTTTAGGACTAGGAAGGAGGTTATTGCCATTCCTGAAATAGCCACCTGGGGTCGCCAGCAGTACAGGAATGTCATTGCTGGGCTGTCTGGCTGAGTGGGGAGGGCACCGGGAGCTGGGAGATCAGAACAGGAGTAGGGATGGCTGTTTTGAATCTTGGGATCCAGAGGGTACTACTAGTGGGATTTGGAAAATGTGTGTACCTAAAAGGTCAAAGCTTAGTCTTCACTGATAGGTCATGGACAAGGTATGGTATAGGATTGTGGCAGGCACAGGGGTGCTTACCTGCATAAGGCGGCCCATAGTAGCTGCGGACATATGTGGCCTCGTGCGCGTTGGGGGGCACCACTTCATAGTAGTCCTGATACGGGCTGTAGACGCGTACCTGGGAAGTCCAGTCAGGTCAAATGCCCAGGAACATCCTGGTCTGGGTTTGGTCCTGACCCCTTCATTCTCCTGTGGCTACCTTCCTCCCCTGGTACCAGGAAGCTGATGGGAAAAGGTGCTGCCTTCCCATAGAGTCCATAGCCCTTCTCCTCTAAAACTCCAACCTTTACATCCAGCTCCCAGTAAAGCCACTTCACCCTCCTTGGTCTCCTACACTGCACAGATTTTCCATGGCTCCCAAATTCCCATTATAGGCCTAAACTACAGTTCTGTCACTTGGAGAAACCTAGCCAACTACTCTCCTAGCCACAAGAAGAGAGAACTATAGTCAAGCCCTAGGCATGGATTAAAGGAGGACTGGGGCAATGGAAAGGAAGAGCGGGGAAGAAAATTGAAATAACTGTCATCAAGCATCTACTACAGAGTGGGTCCCAATGGAGGTGCTGGACTGTGTTACTACCTTTGACCCTTAAAGGACTCAGTACGGTGGGCTGAGGCACAGAGGGGGTGGGGGTGTTGCTCTCCGTTTCAGGGTCTACCAACCTCCCAGAGTCTAGCTCAAAAGTCACCCACTCCAAGAAGCCCTCCTGGTCTCAGAAGTCATGTTTGCTGTATCCAGAAGAAATATCTTTATGTTCCTGGGTTCTCTGTGACTGGATGGTCTCCTCCTTACCCTTTGTCTTAACCTTTCTGCCTACTCCCCAAATGTGTGCCACTTAGGGGCAAGTCCCTCAACTTATGTCACCAGCAGGGGATCCTGCATGACAGGAGCCAGTAAATACATGCATGATTAACAGTAAATGCCGATCCAAAACTGCCACTTTACTCATGGGGTGTGGCAGACCTGGAGGGTCCACACCAGAATGGCCCAACTCTGTTTAGAAGTTCCAGCCTGTGGTGGTGGTGATGGCGCACACCTCCCAGCACTCGGGAGGCAGAAACAGATGGATCTCTGAGAGTTTGAGGCCAGCCTGGTCTACACATCTAGTTCTAGGATAGCCAAGGAAAGAAACCCTGTCTCAAAAAAAAAAAAACAAAAAACAAACAAAAACAAAAAAACGCTGAGATAGCTCAGTGGTTAAGAGCATTGACTGCTCTTCCAGAGGTCCTGAGTTCAGTTCCCAGCAATCACATGGTGGCTCACAACCATCTATAATGAGATCTGGTGCCCTCTTTTGACCTGCAGGCATACATGCAGGCAGAACACTGTATACATAATAAACAAAATCTTATATATATAAAAAAAGGTTTGTATGTATTCAACTTTACTGACACAAATGGATTGTGCTCCATCCATCTCACAGCCCTGTTCTTTGTAAATGCCAGCACCATGCAGCGCACCTTAAGGGGTTCCTCCTTTCTACCCTTTTGTATATGTGGAGGTGTATGTGTGTGTGCAGAAGTCAGAGGTTGATGCAATGTGTCTTTCTTAATCACTTTCCACTTTATTGTTGAGATAGTTTCTCACTAAACCTGGAACTTGATGGTTCACCCTCACTGCCAGGCCAGCCAGCCCCCAGCATGCATGCTCCTGTCTCTACCTCCCCAGCACTGAGATTGTAGAGAACACCGCTGTTTTCACATGGGTTCTGGTGTCTAACTGGGGTCCTTATGCTTTCATGGCAAGAATCTTCCATTTTTAGACAGGATTTCATGCAGTCTAGCTTGGCCTTGAACTCACTCTATAGATGAGGATGACATTGAACTCCTGATCTTCCTGCCTCTACCTCTCAAGTGCTGGGGTTACAGGAATGTACCACTAAGCCTGGCTCTAGAACCTTTGCTCTTTGGGGGCAGTGAGTGAGTGATACTCAGCCCAGGCTGCCTTTGAACTCACAACCTTCCTGCTTCAGTTCCTGGGTGCTAGGATTATAGGCACATACCACCAAACCCAGCATTTTCTTTTTTGTGATGTTGGGGTTTGAGCCCAAGGCCTTATGCGAGTTGGGCAGGCATGTACCACTGAGCTGCATCTCCATATCCTGGTGCTCTTGGCTTTGCACACTAGCTTTTCACAAGGCCATCAGGTTTTAGGATTTTATCTTCTCAGTGTGCTCTTTGACAACCTATTGGCCAGTGCCGAGAGAGAGTAAGCCCTTGGATTTAGCTACTTCGACACTAGAGTGATCTTGTTAGGGAGGGATATTTTTTAAAGGAATGGTTGGGGATAAGTCAGACTGGAGAAGACTGAAGAATCCTTGTGGAGAGCAGGGAATCAACATTACTACATGAACCTGCCCTGAAGCGGCAGTGAGCTGGCCTCTGTGAGGCTCTGGAGTGGGTGGAAAATACAACCTCATGTCTCTCCAGGGCTCCTGTCCCTCCAGCTCTGGGAGGCCCAGAAGAAAACTCAGAGCACCTGGCAACCGGCTGGTCACCCCAGGGACCTCCTGGAGAACAGAAGCCCTCAGGCTTCTCCCAGGGCCCAGCCCCTCCTGTGGGTGAAAACAGTGCTGTCCAATCAGTGAGTTACATGTAAATAACATTCTGGCCTCGTCTGAAACTGTTGTATTCGTAGGTTTATGGTCTTTCAATCCCATTTTTAGGCATTGCCACTTGAAGTCCCAGGCCTCTCTGTGATGAACTAAGTAACAATGATCAAGCTAAGTAACATCTCAGAGCATATTTCTCATTAATCTTGGGAGACTCCAGCAAAACTATATCTACTGACCAAGTCCTTCTGGGCTCAGTTGTTGCTCTTGCCACAACCACCAGAAGCCTCACCCCTTACGAAATACTAGGGATCAACACAGCACCTCACTCATGCTAAGCATGTACTCCACCACTGAGACCCAAACCCAACCCCAGAAGTTAGTCTTGAACATGCAGATTTCCATGTTGAATGTTAAAAACAGTGCTTGCCTAGCATGTTTGAAGCTCCAAGCTCAATCCCCAGCACCACAGAAATATTTGTATGTATATAAATACACTACAGTTCCTAGGCCCCACCCCACTTAGGAGGTTACAGCATGCAGAGAATACCAACATGTGTTGCTGTCATGTAAGTCCCTAAGCAATTCCAAAACAGCATCAATGAGCAAGAAAAGACTTTGTAATTGATCACATAGTAAGACCACAAGCTCCCATGTCCACTCACATAGCACTAGACCAGGTGCTATGCTGAGCCCTAGGGACAAAGAAAGAGTTGAGGCCCAGAACCTGTGTGCTGGCTGACTGGACTTGGAATCACCTGGGACACAGACCTCTGAGTGTGTCTGTGCTGTATTTCCGGAGATTTAACTAAGGAGGAGAGAACCTCTCCTGAATGGGGCAATACCACCCTATGGCATGGGTTGGAGTTCCAGACTAAATAAAAAGGGGAAATGAAAAAGCCAGCTGGACACGGGCATTCCTCTCTCTGTGGCTACAAGTGAGCAAGCAGTCCCATATTCCTACCGCCACACCCCCCTACACACACACACAGGAGTGTACCCTCAAACTATAAACTTGCTTCTTGTGAGTTATTTGCTCACAGTGATAAGAAAAGTAACTACTATGTCCTGATTCCAAGAAACACCTAGGGCAAGGACAGGCCCAAACTAAGTCCTTTTCTTTCCTTTCTCATTCAGTGACCTATTTGTGCCAGTTCCTTATGAAGGGGGTACGAACAGACTGTTCTCATCACTGAGCACTGACTGAGCACATGCTGAATACTCAGCCCTGTACTGGACTTCACTGAGCACAGCCAATGAGTCCTGGCCCTTGCCTTGGAGGAAGTTCCCATTTCAGTGGTTCTAAGCAGACAGGAATAAAGTAACTTTTGGGCCAGGCAGAATGAAGCCAGTGCTAAGAATCAGTGACAGTGGACTATGTCCTGAGTGACAGTGCCTGTAGCTCTGGGAAATCCTCACTGAGGAGGTGGCAGCCTTTGAGTTAGTTCTTTAAGGTGAGCATCCGCTGGCCAGGTGAACAAAGAAGCTAAGGGTTTGGGCAGCATAGGACAGCATGGGTATCGGCAGGAGGAAGTGAGAACTACAGCAGCTGCAGCAGAGGGCAGAGCAAGCACAGGAGTGAGGAGATGTGGCAAGCAAGTCTGGGAGGATACATGGGCCTTGAAAGCCAGCTGTGGTCCAGTGAGGAAAGGAGAGCCATTGATGTCTGTGAACAGGGAAAGGACAGGACGGGTGGCTTTGGAGGCTCATCCTGATGGCCAGAAAGGAGGCAGGAAGGGTTGAGCTTGCACTTACCCAGATCCGCCTCTCAACCTTACAGGGCTTCCAGGAGAGGGTCGTACACCTGACCTTAGGGCAAACCCGACGACTCCTGGGTGGGACGGTGGCTCCAGCTGGGGCCTGCTCCAGCCACAGAAACCCAACAAGGGAGAGGGAGGGAGATATCAGATGCCCTTTACACCTTAAGAGACTAGGAGATGTTACCAGGTCCCTACCAGAGTCCTGTGCCAGCTGTTCATGTGCTCGCAGAAGGTCAGAGGTGGGGAGAGGGGTGTCAATTAGGAAGGAGCAATGGTCTCCTTCTGGCTCCCCCACCTTGGTTTCATGCACATGGGGATCCCAGTCTCTTTACCCCACAATTCAGCCTCATCTGTGACTATATCCCCACGAGCCTTCTCCCAGATTGGGGGGCACATAGAGGTACAAAGCACAGGTCACTCCTGCATAGGCTCAGGGAAAGAGAAGCCCACAGACACAGATGTGAACATATAGACAGACAAAAACACAAGCACCAGCCCCAGTAAAAGCCAGAGCCCCAAGGGATGTGTATCTGGGGAGCAAAAAGAGGGAACATGGAGGGCCAGGCAGAGGTCAGGGGTCAGTACAACAGGCAGGTAGACAGAAAAAAAGAGAGCATGGCGGGCCAGGCAGAGGTCAGAGGTCAGTAGGGCAGGCAGAGGGGGAGCAAGACAGCTTCATAGAGTCACAGAGTGCAGAACGGTCAGCCCTCACCTCCTTCCTGCTGTCTTCAGTGTCACTGGCTGGGGCGCCCGGGGGGGGGGGGGGGGCTCAGAGGATGGTTAGCCAACCTGGCTCCTCCCCCTGATGATCCTTGGTCCTTATTTCTAGCTTCCTATAAATCACCTTCCACCTGAAAACTCAAGGTGGCCCCCGATGTCTGACTTCAGCCCTTTCTGCTAATGCCCCCAATTGGTCTGATAGCCTTAGAAAAATGCTATTCCTCCAACTAGACTTTGAGATCCTTCATAACCTGACCCAGAGGTCATCTCTCCAATGTCACTCCCTCCATGGTAAGCCTTCCAACCAGGCCATTCTCCAGCCCTTGGATGCACACGTTTGCAAACACGCACACATCCACCTTCCCTGCCTCTGCTCACATAGCTACCAATGCCAGCTTCTCACTAAGAACACTAGCCAAGTCTCCAGTGAAGGTTCCTCCAATGCCTTAAGATTGTAAAACTCTGAACGAGCCATCTCCCCTTTCTAAACCTCAGCTTCCCCATCTGTAAGGTGGGGCTAATAAACCAACTGCCACCACCCCCAGCCCTTGTTAGAGGATGAAATGACATAACCATGCCAGGTGCTTAGCAGAGTGTCTGGCCCTCAAGCAGGTGGGTATACTCAAGAGGGTTTCTAACTGTCTGTCTTCTCTGCTACTTCCCAGTGGACACTCTCCAGGCGAGAAAAAGTCTCAGCTGTGCCACAGGCAGAAGCAACAAGCATAGATTCTGGAGTCTGGCAGGTGGGGGCCCACGCTAGGCCTCAGGCCATGCTTCAAACCCTCACCTTAGTGACCAATGGTTGGTCACCAAGCAGTCTCCCCTGCATCTCCTAAATACCTGTGCTCCTCAGCCTGTCAGCCAGCAAGGCTTAATCCAGACCTGCAGCCTCTTATAGGGAGACTGGCCCCAGCTCCTAACTGGTCCCAGGTATTCCTCTCACTCCCTCCCTACCAGCCGGGATTTTTGTGCTTGTTTTTGAGACACGGTCTGGCTCTCTGGTCCAGACTGACCCAAAGCTTGGAGTTGTCCTGTCTCTGCCTCCCGAGTGCTAGGATCACAAATACACACTGTCATACCAACTCCAGGATGGCTTTTTGAAAATAAAAGGCTGGAACTGCAGAGAAGGCTCAGTTAATAAAGTGCTTGCCTTGCAAACACAAGAGCCTGACTTCCACCTCCAGCATACCTGTGAAAAGCAGGCATGGTGGCATGTGCCTAACCCCAGAAAAACATAGGAGGATCCCTGGGGCTTGTTGGCCAGCCACCCTAAACTGGTGATCTCCAGGTCCCAGTGAGCAGCCCTGTCACAAAAAATAAGGTAATGGCTGAGCCAGAGCCAGATGGGGGTGGCACACACTTTTAACCCCAGAACTCAGGAGGCAAAGACAGGTGAATATCTGTGAGTTCAAGGCCAGCCTGGTCTAAAGAGGGAGTTCCAGGACAGACAGGGCTGTTACACAGAGGAAACCATGCCTCCGAAAAGCAAACACCAAAAAAAGTAAAAAAAAAAACAAAAAAAAAAAACAAAAAAGTGATGGCTGTTGAAGGCTACCACCCAAGGTTGACCACTGGCCTTCACACACCTGTGCGCCTACCCACAAATACACAGGCACACCATACATATAAATAAATTATTAAAAGATTTTAAAAGGCATTTCTGATCAGGTCTTTCCATTCTTTCCTTTTGCTTAAAGACTGTCAATGGCTTGTTGGTGCTCTTAGCAGACACCAGGATTCTTAGAGCAAGGCATGGCAGTTTATGCCTGTACTTCCAGCACTTGGAAAGCTGAAGGAGGAGGGGCATGCAAATTTGAGGCCAGTCTGGGCTGCATGATGAGTTCAAGGCCAGCCTGAGATTCAAAATGATACTCAAAGTAAAAAGTAAAATAATCAATACAATATTATTAGCACAAGGCACAGGCCTGAACCCCCAGCTTTCCTTCCCCACCACCCCTAACCCTGTTCCATGGGCTTCAGCCACCTTGATATCTTAACCCCATCAGGCCTCTGCACATACTGGTCCCTCTTACCTGGAAAGCTGTTTCCTTCACCATAGCCCCACCTTTTACCCAATTTATGTTTATCCTTCAAGTCTCAGCTTCAAGTGAACTCATACTTGGATCAGACCACCAAAAGGGTCACATACTGCATGCCTCTGCCAGAGCAGTGGCTGATATCAAAATGGAAAAATTAATTAATTCGTTGTCTTATATCTTACTCCTTCTAGGCTGAATGCAGGAGGGGAAAGCCTACATCCTTTGGTTTACTTCCTATCCCTGGCCCTTGGCATGGTACCCGACTCACACTAAGAACCCAATACATATCTGTTGTGAGGACGAATGAGCCTTAGTCTTTTGTTTGTTTGTTTTTTGTTTGTTTTCTTTTTTTGTGACAAGGTTCTCTGTGGCTTTGGAGGCTGTCCTAGAACTAGCTCTTGTAGACCAGGCTAGTCTGGAACTCACAGAGATCTGCCTGCCTCTGCCCCCCGAGTGCTGGGACTAAAGGCGTGTGCTACCACTGCCCAGCATGAGCCTTAGTCTTAACCATGTGGAGGGAGAACAATAATCCAGCCTCACAGGACTGTTCTGAGTGGCATCATGACTGACATATGCACCCTCTTTTCTAACTTCCCTGCAACCCTCCAGTAAGTCTTCATAGAGGCTTCTCTCCCTCCCTCCTGGGAGCACCTGCAGACTCCTCTCTTCTCCACAGGGGACTCCAGGGGACTGAGTCTGCATGAATCTCTCCATTCTAGACTGAACTAATAGGCAGAGACCGAGTCTGAGTCACCCATGATTCCATGGCATGTGGGGCAAAAGGGAGGGGAAAAGAGTGGAGGCTCACCGGGGTAGAATTTGCCTCCATCAGTGCTGTCTTCCATGCTCTGCAAAGCAAAACCCACCAGGTCATCAGGAAAGATTTGCAGGGGAGGGGCTCCCTCCCTGTCGAAGCTCATCCCCAACCCAGTCAGTCCCAAGCCCCCCACATCTGCCAGCTCTCAGGCAGACAAAAGCAACTAGTCACATGAATAGACCCTGAGGGAAGCTAATAACTCGTGGTGGTGGTTGGGTTTGGCTCTTGTTTGGTTTTTGTTGTTTCTGCTTTTATGAGACAGGGTTTCTCTGTGTAGTCCTGGCTGTCCTGGAACTCTCCCTGTAGACCATGCTGACCTCATACTCAGAGATCTGCCTGCCTCTGCCTACTGAGTGCTGGGATTACAGGTGTGCACCATCACCACCCAGTAAGCCAATAACTCTTGGTCCAGCCTCTTCCCCTCAGTTATCCCAGTTGAAGTTGGGGGTGTCTCTTAGGTGCCTTCTGAGTCTTGCATTTCTGAGTGATGCTCTGCCACAACCCACCTCCACATTCCCACTTGTACAGCTTCCCAGAGCCATGACCAGGAATGCCCAGTGGATACAGGACAATTGGGCCTTTGTTGGTTGCCATGGCATCTGGTTGGGGTGGACAAGGCAGCTCTATGCTATCTGCCTAGATCTTGGCGGCCCCAACACCCACACACCCATCTCTTTCCTCCTTCTCCAGGGCAGAGGCCCAGCTGCTCAGGCCGGGGGTAGGAAGGGAAAGAATGTAAGGGAATAGATGGCACTGAGGACTTTGCCCTCAGCCTCCTAGGAGAGGCTTCATCTAATATGGGGGTGCCAGATTAGACACTGCCAGTTGCTTCTGACAGCAGGTCTAGGCCAACCCCTCAGTTCAGAGTCCTACCACCAGGGCACCTCTTACAAGGTCTGTTGAGATGTCATGGGGTATGCCTGCTCCTTTCAATAGGCCTGGGTGAGGGAATTACTTCACAGGCTGCCAAATATCTGATTCCAAATGTCCAGAGACCCAGCACCTGAGGCGGGTCTGCATCCATCCCTGAGTTCTCTGTGTATGCACCAATCACCAGTAGTTCTACCATTGTCCTCTGCTCAGCCTGTATGACAAAACCTTGCTAACTGGTCTTAATCCCCTCTGTGGTTGCACCCTAATATCCCACTCTACACATCCCATGAATCTACTCACATAGCATCATCCCGGGTCTCTGCACACAGATGCAGGCGGGAACCCTCCCGTAGGTTCACTGTCAGCAGGCCGTCTCGGCTCCTGCCCTCTGGGGGCTGCACATCTGAAAGAAAACACACATACATGAGGATTCCAGAAACATAGACCCTAGTGGCCCCTACTCCAGGAAACCACACCCAATGGTAGGGATTGGCATCTTGGGGTCCTGTTTGCTGGTCATTGCCAACCTCTGATCCCATATACTTTCCTGGGAGTCTGCTATATCCTTGAAACCCTTTCAACCTTTACATATTACTGGCTCATCTTTCAGTTACTGTATTACACTATGGCTTCAGTCTTGGTCGAAGCATTAGATTCACTGTGGGACTCTAGGCCAGTTACATCACTTCTCTGAGCTTCCTTATTTCATCTTCATCCACTCTCAAGTACCTGCAGGTATTTTATCTGGACTCACCTCTGGGGTGTAGCACAGGGTAGGAACTCAACCAAGGACCAGTCCTTAACTCATAGCTAACTGACCTACAGCTGGCAAAGGCCCAAAAGTGTGTGGGAGAGCTCTCTGAAAGCAACCAAGAGCCTTCCAATTGCAGTTCTCAGACACACATGGAAAAGACCCTGACCATGGCAGAGTTCCATCAAAGAAGTGCTTCTGCTCACCGTGACACTCTTGGCCAACCTTTATGTCTCGAACATTGAAGTGGATAAGCACACGGTCCTCCTCGTCCTGGGCCGTCTCATCGTGGTAGTAACCCAGCGTGCCATCCAACCACAGAGCAAACCAATTCCTCTTCCAGCGGCGGAGGATGGAGCCTGTGGGATATTCCAGACCCACCAGGGAAGCTGAGCCCTGATCCTGCTAGGGGCAAGAGCCCCATATGGGCTCCCCAAATCCCCTCAGCTCTGTCCGCCATTACTATCACTTCTTTCTTGTCTATCTTTTTTACATTTCTCATCCCTGCCAGCCACTGGCCTGACACACAGCAGAGGCTCAATAGAAGTGCTGAACTAAGCCTGGCATTGGTGGCGCACACCTTTAATCCCAGCACTCGGGAGGCAGAGGCAGGTGGATCTCTGTGAGTTCGAAGCCATCCTGGTCTACAGAGCAAGTTCCAGGTCAGGCTCCAAAGCAATACAGAGAAACCCTGTCTCAGAAAAAAGTGCTGAGCTGTGACTGGGCACTCATACCAACTTGTAGGAGCTTCTAAAGGCAAAGACCTCTCCCTACCGGAAGCCTCTATCTCATCTCTTATCTCTGGTTTGAGTGACAGTCATTTGTCTCTGCCTCTTACACCACACTGGGCATCTGCATTGGTGACATGAAGTCCTAAACCCCAGCAGGACTGGTGTCTGCCAAATGAACTGAGAATGGACAGGGGCAAGGAACATGGGGACCCCTGGTTCAAAGGTCTCCAAGACAGCTCTTGTTCAGTTTACAGAATTGGTTGGATGACTGGGGGGCAGGAAGACTAGGGTCATTGTGACTCTAAACATTTTACGGCTGAAATGGTAATAGGATGTGCAAAACATTAGAGGGCTTCTTAACCAGGTGTGGAGTTCCAGCACTTGAAGGCTGAAGGGAATTCAAAGCTAGTCTGGACTACTGAGAAAGACCCATCTCAGAGAAAATAAATAAAATTAGGCATAACAGTACATGCCTGTAAGCCCAACACTCAGGTGGTGGAGACAGGAGTTAAAGGTTATATTTGGCCACATGTTGAGTTTAGGACTAACTAGAGCTACACGGAACTTTGTATTCCCCCAATGCCTCACAACCCACCCACCCCCAAAAGAAAGAGGGCTTCTTGGAGCTATAGTTCTGAAAAAGAGATGTATCTCACTTTGCTCTGGGCCATGGTCTGTGTCCTGTCTGGGTTGGGGGGCTATGGACACATAGGCATTAAACTTAGTCTGTGTACCTCAAGAGATACACAGTTTAGAGTCTAGGATCGGTACGGAATGGGGAAGGGAGGCGGGAACCCTGACAGGTGGAAACAGTTGTATTGTAAGTTAGTGTGGGAAGTGAGAAAGGAGCCTCTGACCCAGCTTAGTGCTCCAGGGGCAGAGGGGGATCCTCAAAGGAGGGGAATCTAGCCGGCCTAAAAGAGCGAAGTCTAGCTACACAGCCAGAAATGGGAAGAGGCCCCATAGGGAGAAAGTGATATGTTCGCTGTGATATGTACAACACACTCTTCCCTCCTCCCCGCCCCAGAATCAGGTGCAAAGCAGACAAGGGCTTGACCCAGAATCACTCACTCTGTCTCCACAGCCAGCCGCCCCTCACCAGGGCCATTTCTTCAAAAGGGCTTTCCAGGGTGGAGTCGGGTGGGACCTGTCAGAGGAGTCAGGACACACAGACCTCACAATTCAAAGCAACTCCTGAGAAAGAAGCCCCCAGCCCTGTCCTCCCTAGGGAGCCACCCTGGAACCATGCCAGGCTGTGCGTTAGTAAACAAACATAGGCCAGGCACCCTCTGCCCATCCCCCAAGGCTCTGCTCCTGCAGAGAATGGGCACACTGTCCCACTGGGGTCAGCAGGCAGCCACCCAATAGGACAGGGTGGGGGTGGGGATGGGATCCAGGCCAGGGTCAATTCCAGAACCTTAGCAAGTCCCTGCTCCATGCTCCTCTGGCTTGGATGAGGAAGGTAAAGATGGGAGTAAGGAATTCTTAAAGCTCATACAATGTTAGGAAAACAGGATTTGGAAATGGGACCAGCACAAAATATCAGAATCAAGGCAATGAATTTCCATGACAGGAAGAGCCTCTTTCACATTGGAAACCCACAGGGGCCGTTTTTTTAAAGGACAAAAAATAACAGCTGTGCCATTGAGCACTGTGTGCTTGGTACACTTATCTGCCTTCACCCATTACCGCACTTCAGCTTCCCAAGCATCCTTGCCATCATTCCTATTTTAGAGACAGAGAAACTGGGGCTTGGAGATGTCCAACCTACATAGAACCCCTTGATTCCAAAGCAGTGGTGCCAGAATCCACCCCCAGCCACCTCAGCATCTCTCCAGGAACTTTTAAAAGACACAATGACAGTCGGGTGTAACAGCATAACCTTTAATCCTAGCACTCGGTGGGCAGAGGCAGGCCGAGCTCTGTGAATTGTAGGCTAACCTGGTCTACATAATGAGTTCCAGGACAGCCAGACTTACACAGTGAGACTCTGTCTCAAACAACCAAAACCAAAACAACAACAAAAATAAAAATAAACACCACACAATGTGCAGGATCAGACCAGCTCAGAATCATAACTGGGGGGAGCACTGCTAGTCTTTAAAGACCCCCCCCCTTAGATAATTCCAAAAGGCAGCCACTGCAAACCTCCCCAGACAGCCCTGTTAAGTAGAGACCTTTACAGGTGGTAGAACTGAGGTGGGAGGGGCAAGTGACATACATCCCTGTAGGTGATGGAGTCCAGGTGTCTTCTCTTATTTACAAGCAGGCACCCCTGCCCTTCCCCCACCTGCTCACACCTGTTGCTGCGCAACTAGGGCTGGCACACCTGGAGTGGAAGCCTTGGCCTCTTGTGTTTCTCCTCTGGCTCATTCCCCTCTCCAAGCTCTGACACAGATCTTACAGAGTCAGGTGCACACACCCTCTCAAGTTCCCCTGGATGCACCCACCTGTCCACACCTGCTGCCACAAACGCCGCCTGCTAGTGGATGAAGCTGCTCCCCCAGCCAGTGGCACCTGTGCTTTGTGTACCCCAGAGAGCTTGAGGTATTGCACTCCCCAGGCTGTGCCTGGGGCCTGACTGCCCCCAGGCCCCGCCCTCCAGACCCAACTGACTCCCAGGGAGGGGGCGTGGTGTGGAGAAATTCAATGACTGAGACATGCTGGGATTTGTAGTCTGCAGTCCTATGCCGGGCAGAAGCAGCCTGGAGTAGCAGTCCTCTGCTGATCCCAGAAGGGGTAAAAGGCTGCACATATACTTTTATTTTCTTCCTCTCTCTCTTTCTCTCTCTTTTTTTTCTGTTTTGAAACAAGGATCTGCCTATATTTCCAGGGCTGCCCTTCAAATGATCGGCCTGAGCAGCTGGGACTACAGGTGTGTACCACACCCAACTTATTTTTCTATTAAGACATTTAGTTGTCCAGTTATTTTTCTTTCATAAAATACTTTTGCCCTTTTGGTACTAAGATGTATTCCAGAATGTGCTAAGTACTAATCTACACTCCATCCTTGACATAAAATACTTTCTCTTCTTAAGTAAATGTATGGATA